GAAAGAGAGGGAGGGAAGACCACGTGAAGCAGAGGAGGAGGCAGAGCCCTGCGTGAGTGAGCAAACGCACCCGCACCAGAAGCCTGGGGGCAAAGGAGGAGCCCTCCAGGACAGTGTGGCCCTGCCAGCACTCTGGTTCTGGACTTGTGGTCTTGAGAGCTGGAAGAAGACGAATGTGGATAGTTTTAAGCCACCTAGTTTGAGTAGCCCTACTGCAGCATGCCCCAGAGAGGGTGTACATACACCACTTCTATCTTCTTGGTCCTTTGGGACGCAGGCTCAGGAACTATAGGAGACAATTTGAGTGACTCCCCTTGAATACAGAACAGTTGGGGCAACACTAGTCTTAGTTCCATATACTGATACATATGGAGCAAGCTGTGCCAGTCCCTTCTCTCTTCAGTTGGCTCTAACCAATGCAGATAAGGCCAGTTGAAGTATTGATATGTAATCTCTGGGATCATTCTGACCGGCTCCTGTTTCTCTGCATAGTGCTCTCTGTAAAAGATTGGAACACAGTGGGACGGCAGAGCCAGTCAGTTCCAGGAATGTCAGGTGGGTACTAGCCTCAAAATAAAGGGCTCTGTGTCCCCAAACCAAAGCAATGGCTGCCAAATACAATTCAAATGCTACCTTAATTGAATTATGCTGATTGAGCCTCCCACGTGTCATCCTCCCTGCACTTTGCAAAGATGCTCTTCTCCCTACCTGGCTAGCCAGCTCATTAGTTAATTAGTTAATCATGTGATTCCTACCATCGTCACTGTCACTGATCCTTGGACTGCTCCGTTCTTCAAGAGATAATAAATTCTGGAAGAGGCCTTGGATATCGTCACTTGGCTCAGGCATAGGACTCCTCGGTTGCCCATAACTTTGAATATGTCTTGGTGTCTTTACTCTCACCATGGGTTGCAATGGAGATGGTAGATTTGAATTAATTTTCTGGGATTCCAATAATGTCTCAATGGGATTAAAAGGATTACAGTACTTAGACTGCAATATTCAATGTTCTGGTTACAATAACGAACCCCCTACTATGATAGATTCAAGGTCCCAATATCTGCTCCACCACCATCTATGTACCCTTGACCTCCCCTGGTAAATTCTGCATTCAAATCCAAACCAAAATACAGGAAAACAGCCCAACTCAGCTCATGTAGGGTGATTTTGCAGACCACGTGAGAATGAGTGCAAGCTGTGGTTTGCAACTGACCAGTCTCCTCCACTGTAAACTGATGGGAAGGGGGTCTGGATTGGGGTCAGCCGGAGTCTGGGTCTCCAGGTTTAGTTCCTGTTTATTGGGTTCACTTGTCTTGAGTCACGGCAGGCACACCTTGCCTGGTGTTTCATCTGTGCCTCTCCACTTCAGACAGAGACCCCCGGCCTCATAGTGCTCTTCAGATGTCCACCCTCTGGCCGTCTCCTGCCAGACTCCTGTTTGCCTGTGTATTTCAGTCTTTCCTGAGAGACTTAGTTATTTCTTTCAGTTTTTTTGAGGCAGGGTCTTGCTATGTAGTTCAGGAGGGTCTTGAATCCACTACCCCAGGCTGGCCTTAAACCCAAAGTGATCCTCCTGCCTCATCCTCTAGCCGAGATTACCGGCATGCTCCTGAGTATCTTTATGAAGTATGCTCAGAAATACCATGAATGCTACTGCTCAGTGCCAGCCACTGGAAAGCCAGGCTCTGAAAACGCCCTTATCCACCTCATTCACAGATCTGGCATTGTACGACTTCTAGATCTTCAAAGTCAAGATCACCATGAAAGGTCAATGGCTTGAACCAATTCAAGACATGCAGGCAGCCATGAGAGCACACCTGAAGACACTCACAAAAGAGGATGTCCAGAACTGCTACAGCAAATCGCAAACAGGATGGGATAGGTGTGTTCAAAGCCAGGGGCAGTACTTTTATGGCAGTGTGCCTTTATCTCCAATCAATTTTTTCTTTAAACATGCACCATATTTTTATACCATATCCCATATTTCTATGGTCACTTGCTGGTCTGGTAGCCAGGAGCTTTGGGAAGACAGTGCTTTGCAATAGGAGTGTTGCATACCCATTATGCCTCACACTGCCACTGGGGGCATGCAACCTTTGCATTGGATTTCCACTCTGATGTGGAGAATCTCTCAGTCCAGGACTTCACTCAACCTTAGAAGGGCCTCCCAGGCCCCTCCTGAAAGCAGGAGAGGAGAGAAAGCTCTAGTATCTAGGGAGCAAAGCAGTCTCTACTCTGTGATAGCTAAGGGACAAGGGTGATATAGGATCACAGCCCAGTGATTGCCTGGGAGGGCATGGCTTGCTCACTAGAACCTGCCTCAGGCATCCTGGCAGCTGCTGCCAGATCCTGCCTGTGCCTTTGAGGTACACCCAGTCGCTGACCTTTGTAAAACCTCATTCTATCTCCAGCTCAAAACCTCCTTTCCTGTCATCTGCATCCTTGGTGTTGTGAGTCTTCACAGCTCTAGATTCAGAGCCCGGTTATTTGTCTTCCAAAGTTCAACACTGGGGCCTCCATCCAACCCAGGGTTCCATCCAAGGATATAAATCTCCTTCAGTTTGACACCTGGCCACAAGTTGCTGGAGAAAGGACCAGACAGGCTGCCTTTCCAACTGTCAGATGTGTCTGTGACAATCCACAGGTGACAGGCACAGCCTCATATAAGTCTAAACATCCAGAGGAACCTATAGCTGGAACTGGATCCATGTCAAAGGGAGACCCAAGCTGAATGAGTTCCTGGATGCTATTCAAGGAGAGTTCTCTAAATCAAAGGCCCCTCCTTCAAAACCAACCTTCTCCCCCGTCCCGTCCCGGACAAGCAGGACAACTTTCCTCAGTGATGCTGGGAAAATATTCAGAGACAGGGAGAAGAGATCTTATTTATCCCCATACTCAAGCAAGGCTTCCTTCTCCCCCAAGAACCATGTTCAAAAGCTGCCAGGAAACCTGCCACATCCCAGGGCTCTCACATTGGTCTGGAGTGGAGAGGGGAAAGTCATCTTTGGTATGCAAACATTCTGAGAAATAAAACCTGGACTCAGAGGGAGAAGGCAGCGGCGCTGGCCACTCCAGTGCACCGGGAACACCCATATGTGGAAATGCACCAAGCTGCTGAGATTCGACCAAAGTTTTTTTGCTCTCGTGCCCCTGGACCCAGCTAGTGCATTTGTCATGAGCACACTGAATCAACCTTTGCTGATTTACTAGATAACTTTACTAGATAAGTTATGGGTGAGACCACTGTGTGGTTCATGGAATTTAAGTAAGAACCCACAAAGGACCCAGTGATTTCCACTGTGCTCTCCTTTCCATAGAAAACGTGCCCATGCTGAGTGCAAAAATTGGAAGGAGGAACTAAAAAGTTCCAGCAGGCTCAGTTGTGATTCCAGTTCTGCTTCAAGAGGAAAACAGATTTCTGCAGCCCAGGCAGAGCATGGGAAGGTAAAGGAGAGATCAGTCCCAAGACCTTTGCCCACCTCCAGCAATGTCGTGTGCTCCAGACACAAACACACAGAAAGCACAGAGTCACTGAGGCTCCTCCGAGTGCATGACAAGTGCTCCTGCCCTGGCTCTGGACGGCTTGCAGGGAGCACAACTTTGATCCTCAGGGGACTCAGCAGTGGCAGGAAGGGCAGAGGTGGGGCTAGGAGACCCAAGGCTCCAGCTCCCCCCTCGACCCAAACGACTTTTCATTTTTTGTCTGATGGAGATTAGGAAGAAAGGGCCCAGATGAGTCCTAATTTACTGCCTCTGTCTAAAGCCCGATCTGAGTCAAAGGGAAGAGAGCAAGTGGATTATGAAAAGACAACAAATGGAGAAAAAAAAGGGTGAAGGATAAAGTGCCTTTGGTAATGTTTATTAATCTGATTTTAAGGGGGACAAGGGATCCATTCCAGCAGTTCACCCTCCTGGGGAGCCTGGAGCCCCCCACACTCTGAGGTCCTTCTGACTCTGCTGTGAGGTAGATCAGAGCTGTTCGGTGTCTGCTGTGACAGGTGTTGGCTGCCTGAAGCCACAGTGAGAGACACAAGGACAGATCCTGAACCCGGGTTTTTTCTAATCTAGGTGATGGAAGGCTTCACGGGCCTCAGGAGCAGATCTTGGGGTACCCTCTTTGCCCTGTACTCTCAGCACGCGCATGAGCGAGGCCACAGGGTTGTTCCCAGGATGGGGGGCTCTGGCGGCCCAGCTGCGGAGGCAGCAGTGCATTCAGAGGTGAAGCTCAGCCAATTTCTCAGCACAGTGACTGGTCCCCACCCCGACCCCAGCCCACAGCGGAAAAACAGCTCTGCAGCCAGCCGGGAGTGCGCTGGGGCTCACTTCAAACAGAGCCCAAAGGCTTCCAAAGGACACATCCAGGGAGGTGTTTACAGTCCTACAGGCCTAGAGAGCTACCCGGAAGCCCTGGAAGGTGGAGATAACCTATCGATCTTAGGATAGGAACGGGGGGGGGGGGTACTGGAGGGAAGGCGTGGCCCTCAGGGGACCTGGGGAGCATATTTAACAACACGAAATCATGGGCCCCAGCCAGGTGCAAAAATCCCACCCAGAACATCCCCTCGGTCTCTAAAGGGGACGCTGGATTTCCATGCTCAGTTCCTCCTCCCCGCTGTTCAGAGCAGGACTCCTCGGTCTTCACTTTCGGAGCCATCAGGCCTTTGAGAGAAATCAGAATCAGCTCCTGGGTTTGGCGGGACCACACCCACCAGCGCAAGTCGGGGACAGGGTTAGCGATGGCCTGGGACCTAAGCAGCTGAACCACTGAGCTAGAGAACTCGGGGTGTGTGAGTGGGGGGGGGGTGTCAGAGGCCGGAGTGAAGAGCAACTCGCCTGTCTTTCGCAACTCTGGTGACTGCTCAAGAAAAGGAAAAGTGCACCTCGGCTCCCTCTGCGCACTCTCTCTTCTCTCCAACCCTCTCCGGGTCCCGCCTTCTGCCAGATCCATCTGCAAAGCCAGGGGCTCCGACCGCTCCCTGGCCCGGCCGGCCGGCCTTCCGTTACCTCGCGGTGCGCCCTGCGGGGTTGGCCCGGCCCGGAGGCCCGCGGCCGGGGCAGCCGCACACTAGCCGGCGGAAGGCGCTGCGGAAGTCCGGGCTGCGGCAGTAGATGAGCGGGTTGAAGGCGGAGTTGACGTAGCCCAGCCAGTTAAGGGGGAGGAGGACCGAGTTGGGAACTAGCGAGGGCCCCCCAAGGGCGCGCAGCACGTTGGCCAGAAAGAAGGGCAGCCAGCAGAGCGCGAAGGTGCCGACGATGAGCCCCAGCGTGCGCAGCGCGCGGCGCTCTCGGAGCGGCAGGAGGCGCGCGGGCCGCGGACCGCAGGGAGCCTCGCCTGCGGGCGCAGTGCGCATCCCGGCCCCCTGGGCGGGGGACGCGGAGCGCGACCGGATCCGCGGAGACCCCTGCGGGGGGAAGCGGCCGACCTCCTCGCGCAGCAAGCGCAGCTGGCGCTGGGCGACGAGGAAGACTCGTGCATAGACGAAGAGCATCACCAGCAGCGGCAGGTAGAAGGACACGGAGGACGACAACAGCGCGTAGGGCACGTTGGAGACAAAGGCGCAGCAGCGCGGGTTGCCATGGCAGAGCTGCGCCTCGGCGTCGGCCCCCGCGCGCCACCACTGGCTCATGATGGGCGCGAAGGACACCGCGGCCGCCACCGCCCACACCAGCGCCACGGCAGCTCGCGCGCGGCGCTTGGTGACCACGGCGCGGTAGCGCAGCGGGTTGGTCACGGCCAGGTAGCGGTCCACGGCCAGAGCGCACAGGGTCTCGATGCTGGCCGTCACACAGAGCACGTCCAACGACGTCCACAGCTCGCAGCCTGTCGTGCCCAAGGGCCAGTGGCCGGTCAGCGCCAGCGTGGCCCCCGGAGGCACCACCAGAAGTCCAACCACCAAGTCGGCTGCGGCCAGCGAGGTCACGAACACGTTGGTGATGGTCTGGAGTCTTGGCGTCAGGGCGATGGCCGCGGTCACCAGCAGGTTGCCTCCCACCGTGGCTAGGGCCAGCAGCGTCCCGGCCACTGCGGCCGCCCACGGAACTCCTGGTGGCCCACTCGGATCGGGTGCCAGGGTGGGGGCATCTGGCCACGAGCCGAGAGAGCGGTTTCCGGGGGTCCACGGAGCCGTCCACGAAGCCATCCCCGCGCGACACGGGCGCGGAAGGCTCTCCCAGGGCCCAGGCTCGAGGTAGAAGACGGCTGGGCTGAGCTGGATGCAAGAGCAGCTCCTCTGGCCCGGGTGCCGGCACACAAGCTCGGCTGGCCGTCCCCTTCCCACCCTCACCCCCACCTCCTGGTGCGGGGCTCCGCGGGAGGAGCGAGCAGCCGCTGGGCTTAAAGGGGCAGCGATCAGTAATCCAGATTAGAGGCCGCGAGGGGAAGGGCAGGGGATCCGCTGCCCACCCCGCCGCCACCGTCCAGCGGTCTCGGCTCAGTACTCTCAGGTCGGTTTTCCAGGAAGGCCCAGCAGCGGATCTCGAGGAAGGGGAGGAAAGCCCCACCCTCCCAAGACCTGTGAAATGCCCACAGCAGCCCCTCCTTGATGCCACCGCTTCCCAGGGTATTTAAAGGGAGTGCGGGCAGCCAGTAACTTCCCTTGGTCCCAGCCCTTCTCTTCCCTCGGGTGCCCCCCACACCTTTTTTTCAGCCACTGAGGAAATTGGGCCCTTTTCATTGTTCACCCATTTCAATCGAGGTTTGTGAGACTGAGAAAAGAGTTCGATTCCTCTATTGTCCTCTCTGTCCTTGGCCCCTTTCCACACACTTCACACTTAGTCTCTGATAGGCCTCCTCTCTTAGGGTCCTTCAGTCATCAGGACGTTTTTTAAAGTAGATGAATGGGGGGAGGTAGTGGAGCGGTACAGCACCCAAAGGCTCAAGGTTATCCCCAGAACTGGGAGGATAAAATGAATGACGCAAGGTTGAGATGTGCCTGCATCCTCAGATCTCCCTGGCTAGCCATGGCTCCTCTGTCACCATGTCCCCGTGTCTGCAGCAGCTCCTAGAAGAGTTTATTCGTTGAACTTCTAGAAACCAGGCACAGTGAGTTAAGGGCTTCACAAAGTATTCAGAGGAGCATTCCAATGCCTCCGAAATCTCCCCTGAGGTCTGAGCAGAGGTGTCTGTCTGCCAAAAAAGCCAAGCCCCCTCCCAGATGTAGGACACTTAGTTTTAGGCCAGCCCTCAGTCTCTAAGCCATTTGCTCTCTGGCTGAGAGAGAAAATGAGCCTCTAGGTTGAAGTGGGGGAGCAAGAAGGCGTGATAGCTTTATGGGGACCTATCAGGGTCTGACCCTGAAACAATGGAACAAAAGGGGAAAAATTATCATGGAAAATGCCTCCAGGACTATGCCCTGGTGTATTCTATATTCCAAAAGGGCACTGTAGTCACGGGTCTGAACAGTCCCTCTGGGAGGCTGGACCAGGGGTTAGGAGTTAGAGAGGTTGGAGGGGATGAGAGAACCTAAAATTATCCCTGAGGAAAAAGAACCAGCTAGACTCCCAGGGACCCCACAGCTCACCCTGCTCCAGGCTGGCATGCCCAAGGGCACTCAAGAAGGCCTCTGGAGTCATGGGAATGCCTGGGGTAGAGGGAGGGGCGGCCAGGGTCTCTTCCTGTCACAACATGCCAGAGAGGCAGCTTCATGCTAAGAGCGTCACCCCTGAGATCACTCCCAAGTCAGGTTCTGCAGCACCCCAGAGGGCTCACCAGGGTGTCATAAGCATCTCAAAGAATAATTGCTGAAACAAACAGCATACCATTCCGCACTGTTTTCCCCAAAAGATCAGAGATGATGGGGTCTAGAGAAAGGAGTGCAAACAGTCAAGCAGCTTCAAAGGACTTTGTTGCTTCAGGGGGTGACCTCCTTACTCAGGGGAACTCGTCAAATGTTGACATGTTCAAAAAAGGCAAGATTTCCCAAATGGCACAAGGATGCCTGATGGACACTGTGAGAAGAGAAAGTCCAGGGCCCTGCTGGCCAGGGGCTCCTGCTGCAGAGGGATGGTCCCCAGGCTGCTCCTCCTGGTTTTCCGGCTGGCTGCCCCTGCCCGGAAGCGGACAGGGTGAAGTCTTCTTCTGCCACTCTGGTCTGTGGCGTTAGGGCCAGCACCTGCCTGGTCTGTGCGGTTATTTTCTCTTTTTTGTGATTTTCTGCCTTTAAATTTTGAATAGATAATACATTGACATCATTTAACTATCAGGCTATACAAAATCTACCAATTTGATGGCTTATACCTATAATCTCAGCACTCTGGGAAGCTAAATCAGAAGGATCACAAGTTCAAACTCAGCATGGGCACTTTAGCAAAATACTGTCTCAAAATAAAAGATTCTAAATAAGCAGGGTGTGGTGGTAAACACCTGTAATCTCAACACTCAAGAGGCTGAGACAGCAGAATTGCTGGATTCAAGGCCAGCCTGAGCTATATAGTGAGTTCAAGGCCAGCCTGGACTATCAGCAAGACCCTGTCTCTAAACAAATATATAGTGTGTGTGTGTGTGTGTGTGTGTGTGTGTGTGTGTGTGTGCTGGGGATATATAGCTCCGTGTAAAGTGAAGTCCTTGGGTTCAATACCCAGTAAACACACACACACACACACACACGTGTACCCATGCACAAAATACATACAATAGAAAGTTACAGGCATAGTGGGTCACGCCTGTAATCCCAGCACTCAGGAGGCTGAGACAGGAGGATTGTTGCGAGCTCGAGATCAGCCTGGGCTACAAAGTGAGCTCAAGGCCAGCCTGAACTGCATAGCGAGACCCCGTCTCAAAAAAAAAAAAAAAAAAAAAAGTCGCCTTCATCCATTTTCATTGCCCTAACATGTAACTACAATATTTACCTTTATTCCTCCAGTATTTTACCTCCATATAGATCAATATGAATATATATTGTTTTGTCCCTGCTTTTCTACCTTATAGTAGGAAAATATATCTGCCTTGCTTACTGAGATCTAATTGCATACTTGTGATCCATCCAGATCAATACACAAAAGCTTCCTATCTAAATATTCCATCTTATGGACATACCATAATGCATGAAACTGACTAGTGATAGACATCTAGATTTCACCTTTCCTTCCTCCCTCTCTCTCATTGTTCTATAGCTGAGGATTGAACCCAGGGCCTTCATCTTCAGCTCTATCCCCCACCCTTTTTATTTATATTTTTTGAGACAAGATCTCTTGAAGTCACTAAATTGTGCAGGCTGGGCTTGCCTCAACCTCCCAGAGTGCTAGGATTACAGTATGTGCCACTGTGTCCTGTTTTTATTAATAGACGATTCTGTGATGAATGACTGGACCACTGTGTGTAGGTATAAGAGTAGGATACACATCTGCTTGTAGAACTGCTATGTGTAAAGTATACACATTTTCAGATCTGGACGATCTTGCCAAATTGCACTCCAATGTACTCATTTACAGTCTCACCATCATTCCTGATGATTGCAGGCCCTGGAGGCCAGAGGTCTGCATCTCTGGGCCCAGAGGAAACAAGCAGTCCTGGTCCATAGAGGTCATCCTGCCCTGAATGGACACACACAGTGCCCATAGCAAGCACTGCCGGGCCCTCAGCTGCCCAAGACCTTTACTCTGAGCTCTTGGAAGCAGGTGGTGAATGCAGCCTCTGACTCCCCTGAGGTCAGGGTTCCTGTTGCTCCCCTGTGCCAGATGCTGGGGGAGGCCTTCTGGGTGCCTGGAAGAATCATAACCCGTGATCAAGAAAAGGTGGTTGGCAAAGGCAGATGAGGCAGTGGCCGCCTGCCAGAGTTCACTAGCAGCAAGTGTTTTCCCTCCCTGGCCGACTGCAGTGTGACCATCACAGCTGGAAAAGTGTGTGTGTGTGTGTGTGTGTGTGTGTGTGTGTGTGTGTGTGTGCGTGCACGTATGCGTGCAAGAGTGAGACTTGGCAAGAAGATTCAAGTATTAGAGGTGACTGTAAAGGTTCACATATGTGTACACATGCACGCACACACACACATGCCTCACTCCTAATGAAGCAGGTACTCTCATTAAGCTATGTGCTTTATTCTACCAATCTTAATCTACTCAGTTTGTCTTCCGGTTGTCTCACTAGTGTCAGACAATGAAAGAAACAGCATAGTTATATGTGTACGTATATAAAAATAGTTAAGATAGTTATACTACTGATGTCTCTGAGTTAACTGAAGAGAAAGATTTGTGCTGGTGTATTTTGGACAATTGTAAGAAGATGTCTCATGCTCTGGGTGAATGATTTGGGGATGACAACATTCGATGTATGTATCATTGTTGCCCCTTGATTGATGTGTTTTGAAATTTTGTGTCAATTTTCTTTCTTTTTCTTCTTGAAACAAAATGAATTTGAAAAAAAATTTTACTCAGTTTGCTTGAAAGTTCTGGGAGCCAGTTGTGGTGGTGCACACCTGAAATCCTAGCACTCTGGGAAGCTGAGGCAGAAAATTGCAAATTTGAGGTCAGCCTGGGCAACTTCACAATTTAGCAAGAACTTGTCTCAAAATAAACAATAAAAAAGGGCTGGGGAAGTAGTGTAAAGACCTGGGTTCAGTCTTCAGCACAAGATGGACTTTTTTCTCATTTCCTTAACCTGTAGTGACTGTCCACTCATTCAAACATGGAAGCTTAGCCCAGTGAGGTAGTATACCTGTAATCTCAGCGCTCAGGTGAGGCAGGCTGTGGCAGGAGAATCACTGTAAGATTAGGGCCAGCCTGGGCTACAAAGTGAGTTCAAGGCCAGCCTGAATTGCCTAGCAAGACTCTGTCTCAAAAAAAAAAAAAAAAAAAAAAAAAGAAGGTGGAAGCCCAGAGAGGAAACTTAAGCTCATCCATGGCCTCACAGTAAAGGACCATGTTCAGTAGTGCATAGGTACCCACAGAGGTGGTTCCTGTTCCAGAGCTCTGCCCTTCACTCCTAGCCAAACTGCAGCAGATGCCACCTTCTAGGCTGTCCCCCAGGGCTCCCAAAATGGACCAGCAGACAGGGGAGACATCCCAGAACTAAAAAGAAGTCTCTAATGTCAGAGTTCTTCTGTCCCTTTGTCCTGTATCATGTGGCCCAGCTTACTTGACTTACATCTATCTGACTGGTTCCAAGGTGAGACTCAGAGGACTTAGAAGAAGAGTAGAAAGGAGCTGC